GTGGATAAAAATGGAGGAGCTAACTATGTATCACTAGCTAATGCTTTAGAGAGATTGGGACAAAAAGCTGTAGCTGATGACATACGAAGTGAGTTATAATAATTGTATTAGCAGATTAACTGAGGGAAAGGGACAATTGTATTATTATTATTTATAAGGATTAAATTACTATTATTTTTATAACATTATTATTATTATTTATAAATTATTTTTAGGACGATGTGGAATTGAAACAGCAGAAGAGGATGCCCCCGTCATTGGTATGTATTAATTAATAATAATTATATTTATTAGTTTATTAAGAGACTGGAGGGAGGAGCCCAGTGACTGCATTACCAGTACAGGAAGACAGTTACATTGCAGAAGAAGAAGAGAAACCATCAAAGAAAGAAGATGAAGATGGAGGAGGAGGTAAATGAATATAACAATTATTAGTATTGATGTCCTTATGCTGTGTAGAAAGTTTGAGCTGATTTCGATTTCAATTTTTCAAGTTATCCCATTTTAAAAAATGGGCCAAAATCTAAAAAATTCCCTGTACTATAGCCCATGGTTTTTTCCCGAAAAATGGCCAAAAATTGACCCCCAATTTTTATTACATTTTCTGATGCATATTGATGTCCTTATGCTGTGTAGAAAGTTTGAGCTGGCTCCAACTTCAATTTTTCAAGTTACAGCCATTTAAAAAAAATGGGCCAAAATCTTTAAAAACCCCTGTACTATAGCCCATGGTTTTTTTCCGAAAATGGCTCCGAAATCACTCCCGCTTTTTATTATATTTTCTGATGCATATTGATGTCCTTATGCTGTGTAGAAAGTTTGAGCCAATTCCGACTTCAATTTTTCAAGCTATGGCCATTTTAAAAAATGAGCCAAAATCTGAAAAATTCCCTGTACTATAGCCCATGGTTTTTTCCAATAATTAGAAAGTTTTTAGCTGATATTTAAATTTTTTTATTACAGCCCGTTCCTTTGTCTAAAACAATTTCCATTACTTCATAGTTCGACAAAGATCAACTGTTGCTTCACAGGAACAGGAACAGGAACAGGAACAGCAAGAGAAGACTCCTCCTCATAAAGTCAAGAAAGGTTTGACTAGTACTAGCTAGTACCCAGTCCATTCTTACTGTCACTGTAGGTAGCTATTGTAACTGGACTGTGTTAGGAGGAGGTCTTGGTTTTGTTGTTTTTCTCATTGTTTTGGGTTTTCTTGCAGTTAGAGCATATGGGAATGAAGGTATTATTAATAACAGGATACAGTATTGGTATAATCATAATATATAAACTACCAGATATCAGTCTTGATGTGACTAATCTTCAAGAGATACTTGAAGTGTTAAGGGAAGGTTTGTTTCCCGATCATCGCTGGCTTGATCTCGGTCTCAGTTTGAATTTAATCCACAATGATTTATCAGTTATTGAATCTGATAGACCAACAGCTCACCGACGATTGCAGGAGATGCTGTCATTATGGCTGAGGAGAGGAAGGGCAACTTGGAACGGACTAGCTGCAGCACTTGATAACATTGAAGAATACAAAGCAGCTAGTAAGCAGAAGGAGGAGATTTATTCATTTATACTAAATACATTTTGTACATGTACTTATGTTGCATAGAAAGTTTGAACTGATTCCAATCAAGTGCTGACATGACACTTCAATTATTTTTTTTATTTTTAGAAGTTGTGAAGGCTAAAGGTATGAATGACAGATATGAACTCTAACTTTTATACTTTTATAATAATTATTAATTTTTTATTAAAAACGAGTAACCATAAGTGTTGAAGTTTGAATGATTATTGGAGGGAATTAAATTTGGCAAACTGCTAAATTTTAGTGATTGGCGAAATGAAATTTGTATAGCCACATGTCTTGCATTTTTTAAAGTAACAATTTCTATTTTAACCCTTTCATCACTCCATGTTAGTCATAATAAGTGATTAGAATAAAATAGAACATTATCCTCAACAAACAAACAAATTAAAATCAAAACACAATAAAATAATAACAACAATAATAATAAATTAAAAATCAGTAATTATTTCAATAAATATAATAATTATTAATGCTAACTAAGGAGATGATCTGGACTTAAACTGTTCCTCTTTTTAAGTTCCGAAATGACACTGTGGTCTAGAGTACCAACCTTACTTGGGGAGACCACACCTCTTGGAATAACAGGCTGAGGAATAGAAAAATAATAACCATTAATAACTGCTTATTAATATAACCATTATTAATAACTATTAATAACTACCTGTGGATTATAACTGACTGATAAATTCATTCCGTGAGTGGGCGACGTGTGAGGAGAAGACTGTGTTGGATTCTAATCAATTAATAAATATAATATTAATTAAGGGGTGTGGCTAGCTCCACCCACTCACCAATATACTGATTCCTCTGTTTCTACTGTCGAAATGAGTAGGTGTGGTTTTTACCGGCATCAGTGGAGTCTGAATACCATCAGGAAACTAAAAATAAGAAAATGTAATAAAAAATAAAAAATTATCTTCATTAAAAATTTTTTAGCCACACCCACTTTAGCAAATATGATAGCAGCCAGGAGGAGGAGTCTATCGTCTGCTGAGTCAGCACAGAGGAACTTGTTCTGTTCCTCAAACCGAACCAGCAGACAGAACGGGTATCGAGTTGGCAGTGGGTTCCGTACGTCAATTCTCTTTTGTTCAATTCCAACAAACACATCTAAATCTGATAGAGCCAGTCTTGCCAATTCATTATGAGCCTAAAAATAAAATAAAATAAAATAAATAAATAATATCCTGTACTTTTGCGTCTTTATAAATGAGGAACATGTTATCCCTAACCCTACAGGGACACTTTCTCCACTTCTTCTTCTCCTGTACATGAATGGACACTGTCTGTCCTTTATAAATACCATCCTATCAGTAATGAACATATTAATAAATATTATTATCATTATAATTATTATTGTGCTCTTACAAAGGGCAGTAATTTATCAGCGAAGGTGTTTGGTTTTATACACAAGTAAGAATCAGGTTTCTGTACTGCTAGTACCAGCTCCAGTGAATGTAATGGACGCTCTACAGAGATAATAAAAACTCATTAATTATTCATTATTATTATTATTAATTACCTGATTCAGCGTCACCCAGTACCAGGAACAGGGCGTAGTTCCTCTTTGGTAGACATTTTGTTGTTGTAACAAACTCAACCACTTCAGCAGCAGTAGTCTGAGCATTAATCTTCATAGAACAAGCCCCACCCTCTTTATTAGTGACATATATTGATATCAGGAAACTGGTGCTTGAACTCATTAACATTGTTGATTCCTGATCAATGAGACATCAGTGAGAAATCACTAAAATTAATCCACTAACCTTGTGCTGTTGCTGTGCTGCTTGAATCTTTAACAGAGCTGATTGCATTGCCTAAAACAACAACATTCAAATTTAAATTCAAATTCAATTCTCCAAACCTCTTCCTTCTTGTCCTCATCCTCGTTGACGTTAAACAACCACTTGTAATAGTTCAACATGTGATTGATACACGCATACTGGGCACCTGAGTCCTCAAATGATACCTAATTAAAGGGGTGTGGTTAATAGAGGGGGCGTGTCAGTTGGTGGGACTTACAGCATCTCCATCAACAGTCATGAGAGTGGGACCAAATAAACTGATGATATTGGACTGACTCATCTTGTTATCTGATTCATGCTGGATCACCCTAGATTATGGGAATGAAATTATGAGAATATAGGAATGAAATTATGAAAGTATGGGAATAGAATTATGAAAGTATGGGAATGAAATTATGAAAGTATGGGAATGAAATTATGAAAGTATGGGAATGAAATTATGAAAGTATGGGAATGAAATTATAAAAGTATAGGAATGAAATTATGAAAGTATAGGAATAAAGTATAAAAATGGAATTATGAAAGTATGGGAATAAAATTATGAAAGTATGGGAATGAAATTATGAAAGTATGGAAATGGAATTATAAGAATATAGAAATATAATCATGAAAGTATAGGAATGAAATTATGAGAACATGGGAATGGAATTATGAGAGTATGAGAATGCATATAATTACTTCAATAAGTGTCCTATTAGTCTTTTGAGAGTTTCTCTGTTAATGTCAGGCAGCTGATCAATCAGAGACTGTAACTGGTACATCTGGTTCTCATGACCTGATGTCATCGCTAAAGGAAAGATTATTAATAATAATAAAATATTAAAAGGACGTGTTCATACATGAAGCATGTAGAAATGGTTGATACAGTTTGTGAGTCATCAGTGGGTCAGGAAGTGTCCTGAAGAATTGTTTGAGTGTTCCAGTTACATCATGAACTGAGTAGCTGTCCTCGTCAATGACCACACCCCTTGGGTCCTGATTAAATGCCAGGAGGAGCTTACGTATCTTAGAGTGTTCACCACTTTTACGATACAATCCCTCGGTCTTTAGTCCTGGGGGAGGGGAGGGGTCAGAGGTCATATAGGGATGGGTCATGTCTTACCTGATATCTCTACAAACTGAAGGCACTTGTGTACGATGATTGGAATATTGCCACTGGATATAACAGGGTGCTCTGACAATTGGACTGACATCTTAAATAATCAATTAATATACAGTAAGAGTATCTTTATAATGACACTAGTATAAGGTTACCTGAGTCTGCTTGAGTGCTTGTAGCCACTGGTCAGCTTCATTTGGATTATCAGCTCTCAATGTGTACGACCTACAAAAGATATAAATACATTGATCCACTAGTCCATACAATCTTTAATAAACCAACACACAGTATTATCATCATTATCATTATCATTATTATTATTATTATTATTATTATTATTATTATTATGTACCTCTCATGGGTGACAATATGTACAGTGCACTGTTGGTCAAGGTTAGCGCTAGGATCAGCCGAGTGTCCCTTGAGTTCAGTGACTGTCCTCAGGTCAATGGAGGTCACCTCTCCCTGTCCTTTCTTGAAGTAGCTCAACTTCCGGTCCTTGAGGGCAAACCACCTCCTCTGCCATGTCTATGGGATACAATCAGTTAATAACAGCAGAGAGGTCATGTGAGACTGTGTCATGTGATATATCTTACCACGTTCTTCAGTGACTTCTTCTTTAAGAAACCGATTTTATCATAACCCTACACCAATGAATAAATAATGAGCTGTACTATTATTAATTAATTAATTAATATA